AAAGCCTTAATGTCATCAAATCATTAAGTCATTGTGAATGGGGCGCTGAAGGAACCATATTATTAAATGTATATAGATCGCTCGTAAGATCCAAACTCGATTATGGTTCAATTTGTTACGGAAACTCAGAATCAAAGCTCTTACAAATTGTTGATACAATCCACAATGCCGGACTGAGATTTTCAATTGGAGCATTCAAAAGCAGCCCGATTATTAGTTTGTTATCCTTGACTGGTGAACCCGCACTTCAGCACCGAAGAACTAAATTATCTCTTAATTATATAGCTCGCATCTTTTCTTCACCGGAAAATTCAACCATTCACTTTTTAAACAAAAAGCGCTTTTCAAATATATATGAACACAATTCTAAACTAAGAAAACCATTAGGGCTAAGGCTACAAAAAGAGATGATGGATATCAACATTGAAATTAATGAAATATGTCAACGCGAAAGCAGTCTGATACCCACCTGGAAACAACCAAATTACCTAGTTGATACTAGCTTAACAGAACACCTTAAAAAAGAAACACCAAATACTATTTATAATAACCTATTTAATGAATTAATACACACTTCAAATACTAGCACTCAGATCTATACTGATGCATCGAAAACTGAAATGGGCATAGGACTTGCAGTAGTACACCTCAATGTAACTAAACAGTACAAACTCAATAAATTAAGCAGTATTTATTCAGCTGAATACCTAGCATTATTGAAAGGAGTTCAATTTGCCCTAGATATCAACAATACTAAAATCGATATTTGCTCTGACTCACTCAGTGCCTTAGCAAATCTACAATCCAAAACCTTATCAGAACCATTGGCTCTTTCAATCAGCAACCTTCTTTCCAAATCAAATAAAGAAATCAGATTTATATGGACCCCAGGTCACTGTAACATAAAGGGAAATGAGAAGGCAGACGAAGCGGCTAGAAATGCAGTCAATAGTCCAGACAGTGAAAATATTCCTTTTTCCTCACTCGTAGATATAAAAAGAAATATAAACAAATACTGTATTGATTTGTGGAACTCACAGTGGCACACGACCCCGGAAAATAAATTGAGAGAAATTAAGCACTCTGTCGAACTCTGGCCGAAATACACTGAACTAAACAGAAAAAATGAAGTAATTCTCAATCGACTCAGAATCGGTCACACGAAACTCACACACGGACATCTTATGGCAAAGACAGATCCACCCCATATGCCCAACATGCAATACAAACTACTCCATCAAGCATATCATCATCCACTGCCCAAACTTCAACGACGCTAGAAAAGATCTCAACATCCCAGACAACCTGTACGAAGCAATTGGTCCATTTTCAAACTTTCATAACATAATTTTATTTTTAAAAAAAATTGAATTGCACAATACCATATAATTATTTAATGTAGAAATAACACCTGTAAGCTAATAACCTATGTAGTTGATGCTTAACCAATAAAAAAAAAAAAAAAAAAATTATATACACATTTTAAAAATAAAAAAATAATATACTAACCATTCTCAAACATCAACAGCATGTCATAATCGTGTAATAATTGAAGTTTCTGCCCCGTAAACTTCAACATCGCGTCAAAACTAAGTCCTGGGGCGGTGAAATAGTGGGCGGCGTCCAAGTTGTATGCCCTCATACTTGCGTCACGGAAGTTTTCAAATACATCAGCCAACAGCAACACATCGATTTTGAGATACAGGTCACTATATTCGCCCAACGTATTGCAATCAAAGTGATCCCAGACCAACTTCGCGTGTTCAAAATCTTCCTCCTTAATCCCGGTCTCGGTCAACGTACTAAAAAAATTTCTCTTACTCGGTAGTCTCCTGTCTTCCAGCCGCTCCCATTTATCTGTGTACTCGTATGGGTACACCCCCTTACGAGTCACGAGCGGCATATCTCCGGCGACAAAATGTTTGGCTGTCTCACGGAAGTTCTCATGCTCGGGTGTAACTAAATTTTCGGCCAGGGATGACAGACTCGACGCCATAAACCTGAACGTGTCGATAAACCGAACAGTGAAGGTACTACTTATATATTTCGAGAAAGATATAAATTTCTTCTCACTGTTCGGTATAACGTTGATCGCCTGTGTATCATACCCAAGTTCAGTGATTATGAAGTGCGAGTCGTAGTTTGAGAGATTATGAAAAAATACAGGGAAAAATTTAGGTTGCTACAACTCCAGGTTACACCTGGAGCACAAGGTCTGCCTAAATTTGCCCGTGAGATGGTCATGATCCCTAACCTTATCGCCCCCGACTAATATGCATTTGCATAAGTTACACGCATTACACTCTTGATGTGTTTTTTCTTCACCCTCGGTCATGATTAAAGGAATATTCGTCTTCATTAGACCTTCAATTTTCCGGGCCACATCAACAATCGACTCCATGAAATGTCTCGCCACGTCCGTCCTGTCTTTGCTGCCTCTGTAGATTACCGGCCCCGCCGGTATCTCGTGTTGAACCAATAAATCCGCCGGCACGTCCTCGCTCGCCTTCACCAAAAAACCGTAGCTCATCGCTTCATGTTTAATCCGCGTAAATTACAAACGGGTGCCTCACCGTGTTTTTCCACGCCCTGAACTCAACACAATCACCCTCCTTCGGCATTTCCGGTAAAATGGGTTTATGTGCACCGCAAATCAGTTGATGCTGATTCAGCGCGGTCTGCCCTCTCAACTTGTATTTTAAATTTCGGTTGTCGAATGATGTGAAACACCTCTTGCAGAATACTACTCTCTCTTCATGCCTAGTTTTTTTTGCCCGTATGAGCCAGGAAAAATTTGAAATATATATATAATGCGAGTTGTCTCCGTCCGTCACCAACAGCAGGTCAAAATGGTTTACCTTCTCCACGTCGACTACACGTAGCGGGTAGACCTCATACCTTGGCAATTTCGGTACTTGAAACTTCTTGTCAAGGCCGTACACGTTAATAGATACATTTTTGTTATTTTTTTCAAATGTTGAAATATCAGACAGTGGAGTAGGGAACGATATATCTTCAAAATTATATTTGTTCTCATGCTGGCTATATCTAGCTCCCTCCACACGAAATGCTGTCGGTCCCGTAACATGTCTCGCTAAAATTGCCCACTTAAAACACTGTTGATCTACATTTTGTGGGTTGATGGTACCTCGCTTCCTGTCGATATATTCCGGCAGCTGAATATAGGAGGAACCGCCCAGTGGAGTATATTTGTATACCGCCAACAACAACCCGTCTATTGACTCTAGCGCAAAACCGCTGCCTCTCCCGGTATACTCATCTTTCTCCTTCGTCAATTTCATATAGGCCCTCTCTACAATCGTTCTAATATCGCTATCCGGGAAAATTTCAACCACTGATGTTTTGAACGCCCTGTTTTCCGATGAATTGGGGACGTTGGGCCGGTTATATGTCGCCTCGAGTTTAAGGTTAAATTTAATCGCATTTTTCTGTACACTTGTCTTCAATAAATTAACTAGCTCGGGCATGAGAGACCGGAGAAAATCGGGATAATTTTGAACGTTGTTAATATTTTTGGCATGATACCAAACTATTTTACGGCTTGCTGATGACGAGATTTCTATAAAGCCTATATATATAAATAATATATATATATATTATATACTCTGTACATACTGTAGTATATACTTATATATACTAAAGTTTATATTCTATACGTACTATAGTATATATATATATATACTAAAGTATATCATACATATACTATAGTGTATACCCATATATACCTAATTATATACGATATACATACTAGTACATAATATGATGTACATACTAGAGCTCTGCATGGTCCGCAATTTCATGGACCGAGCCGGACCGATGGAGAATATTTAAGACTGAGACTGAACCTAACCAATATGTAAGGCTATGCAACTGGACCAGACTTAACCAATATATTTTTAGTTTTTTTAAAAAAGACCGAACCGGACCGATGAAAAAAAAATTCTCGATAGAAGACCGACGACTAGACTACAAACAATTTTTTTTAATTTAAGACCAGACCAGACCGGACCGGACTTAATTGTTAAGTGCATAAAATTAAATTAAAATTGAAAAAAAAAATGAGAATTACTTAGACGACTAGAGTATAATAATTAGAACATAATTACTTACTGTTACTTCCCAATGTTATACCACATAGGTAACCTATTTTAAATATATTTTGAGCATAACTTTTTACTCTTGTGTTAATATTGATTATCATAGTATGTTATATGCACATTATAGGTAATTTAGTTATTATGCCAACCCAGTAGATCCTGTCTACAGTATAATAGTAGCCAATTGGCCATAGACTCCATAGTTGATTCTAAAAAAAACAATTAATATGTTATGTTGTCAATATTCCTGACAAAAATAATATATTATACAGTTATTGTTATTAAGTACTGATAGTGTCTGATACTGATTTATTTTTATTCAGTAGTAGAAAATGTGAACAAAACATTTTTAATAGGTACCTACTTAGTAAGAATAAAAATCCATTTTTTTTTTTTAAAATTAATAGTACCTATAAATCACTTCTTGTTTTAAATTTAACTCGATACAAATTCATTGATCTTAAAACCTAATGATTCGTTACTAAGTGAAACATCTTTAGTCTTGCAATCATAAACCATATTATGCAAGTAAAAAAAGCTTATTTACACATCCTTTTTTAGTATCATAGATGTTATATTACTATATAAATTTAACTAAATAAATAATAACAGAAATTGTGTATACATAACTTGTATTATTCAAATATAATAACATATATATCAAACTAAACATCATAAAAATAAAAATGTAATAATATTATATCTATATACTATTAACAGCATATTGTTTAGATTTAGATCTGAAACTTTAGAAACAATATATTTTACTTACTTAACTTAGTATGATGTACTAATACATACTATATGTATTTACAGAACCTATACTATAAAACATGAAATTTTATACATTTTAACATGAATTTTATAATTAAATTAGAAATTTTATTTTTTTAAATTGTTGAAATGGTTGTTTAAAAATAAAATTGCATCCACAGTTGAGCCACTAAGGCAACTCCTTCGCTCTTCAACGACTCTTCCAGCAGTACTAAACGATCGTTCACTACTGGCGCTACTTGCTGGAATAGCAAATATTTGCTTAGCCAACATGGATAGGTATGGAAAATTAAATGTGTGATTTTTCCAAAATGTTAATACATTATCTTCTTTCACATCAAACTCAAAGTATTTATGTTTGTACTCTTCCAGTTCTTTTTTATACCTGGGGACATTTTCGGAATGTTCTGAATCATTTTCGGCATCTTCCCATTCTGAGAACGGTCTACTTCCTGAAACGTTTTTAGGAATATCTTTTTCTTTTGGCAGTATAGTACTTGGTTCACTATTTTCTTCTAATTCAATCTGCATTAGTTTCAACTCGATATTTTGATGGATGCGAGCTTTATCATTTTCACTAAACATTTTTAATGATTTAAATTTTGGTGACAAAAATACAGCAATTTCATGTTCATCAAACAATTGGAATTTAGAATCTATGAGTTTTAATCCTTTTTTACCTAATATCTGTAAAATAGAGTTTGTAGTAGGTTCTTCACCACTACTGTTACACATATTGATCTGAAAATCAACATACTTTTTTAAATGCTTTTTTAGTAACTTTTGGTATAAAATTGCTTTGTGGATAGTTGGACATTTGTCACCCTCGAGATCATCAGAGGCTTTCTTGAATGGATCCAAAAACTGAATAATTTTTTCAAGTAAATCAGTGCTAATATTTTTTATGTGTTATTTTTTTTTTTCAAAGTGTTCTCCGTGTATTTGAATAATTTCTGGAAGTCCTTTATGAACTGACTGAAACATTAATAGTCGAGTGTTCCACCTTGTCTCCACCTCTTGCACAAGTCCTTTACTAAGCTCACAATTTCTTCCAGAGCTTTTCATATATTTCACCAAGTTTTTACATTCAACCATTAATGTTAAAATAGGTTCCAATGGTTTCATTCCAAATTCTTCTTCTTCCTCTAAAAATTTTATGTCAAACAAATTTCTCAAAACTGTGTTTAGTAAGTGAGCACAACAATTTAATCTATTGTAGTTTCTAAGTGCGCTTAACATATTTGAACCTTGGTCGGTAAAAAATGTAACACAGGACATCAAATCACCATTAAACTCAGTAGCTGATTTTGATATTTGAAAAAAAAAATTTCTCATAAATCGATTTATATTTTCACCAGTTTTTGCTTCATAACTGGGAAATTGACCAGTCATAAGTAAGCGATTATTAAGTTCCCAATTACTGTCAATATAATGCAATGTTATTGACATGTAACTGTTTTTTCTATAGTTGTCTGTCCACATGTCACAAGTTGATGCACACAACTTTTTTTTTATACTATCCCATATATATTTAAAAAGCTCATTTCATATTTCCTTAGCAGTTTTTTGTATATGTCTAGATATAGTAGTTGGATGAGGCAAAATATCAGTTATGTCAGTTCTTCCAAATGTTGTACCAGTGTCCAATAGAAATTGACTAAAGCACTTAAAACCTTCACCATTAATAGCAGACATTGGTCTAACATCCAAACAACAAAATTTAACACATTTTGCAATTGTTTCATTTTTTAAATAGGTCGGTATTATTTTTTTTTTCTTGTTAGTTACTTCAGTATACATCTCCATTGTTTTTTGTGACTTTAATTCACTGGCACATTTGTGTCTGTTCAGTGTAGCCGTTCCTGTAGTTTTGCTATAGAGTTCTTTGCAATTGATACATGCAACAAAATCAGTCAGTTCTTCATCAAGAGAATCCGGGTTTTCTAAATTTTGTTTGACAAACATGACTGTTTGAAATTTTTCCCAAGTTGAACTTTTTCCCCCGTGGGGTACCAACACATACTCCCCAGTGTCATTTAACAATTTCCGTTTGATTAAAATTTTTGAATTGGAAACATTGGTGTTTGTTTACAATGGAGTAGTATCAGTTATTAAAGATGAAGAACTTGAAGCAAAAGAAAAATTACATGAATCATCAATTGTGTCATTTGGTGTTGGAGTACTGTTCCTTAAATATTCATGATTAGATGAACTGGTTGGAGGACTTAGAAAACTTGAATCCAAAAATGCACGTATTTCTTGTGAGTTATTCATAGTTCTAAAATAATAAAAAAAAACATTAATGCTAGTTATTATAAATTTTGTGAAAATCATAACTAACAAAATATACAAAAATATTATTAAATTAGAAACTTATTTATAAATCTTTTTTACACTAAAGAATTTAAATTATAGCTTTGAAAATATAAAGAACATTTAAATGATGCAAATGCATACATTTACATTCAGCAAATGATAGCCTCTTTATAATAATATTATAATATAGGAGTTATGGAGTTTTGTAATTTCAAGCTAGTTAATGCCAATTTTAATGAAATACATTATTAATAATAATATGGTATTTTTATTCTAAATTAAATATCAATAGTATAAAATCATAATATTTAAATATTAGTTATTAATACCTCCGGAATTATATAAAACATTAATAATATTATAATAATGTAGATTGTAGTAAAACAAACCATTATTCAAGTACATATATAAAAGTATTCAAATAGCTTGGGGTATTATATTATGAATGCTGTTCTGAGGTTTTGTGAGGCCCTATACATAATTATGATTCGGGGCTCTTGGACTCACAATATAATAATAAGGTTCAAAAAATATGTAAATATGTAATCATAAATGTTATTTTATGACATTAACTTGAAATGGTAGGTATATTCATATAAATTTTTTAACAAAAACTATTAGAAAATTCTTTTATATCCTAAAGGATATTAGATATATGTAGGATATAAATGTAGGATACAACACAAACGCATTATATATTTATCATTAGTTCAATCAATCTTAAATTATGGTACTGGATTCTGATACTCCACTTACAATATTACATTTAAGCAATTTATTAAGAACAATTTACAGACTAATTAAATATATTCAAAACGTACCATCACTTAGTATTAATACTAATATCCATAAAGCCTTGAAGATCCAAAACCTAGACCAAATTTATAAAAAACCGCTTATTACTACAAATCTTTCAATATAGGTAAACATTTACTTACACCAAGTACCAACAAATCATTAATACAGTACAAGATATCATTTAAATATTAATCTGGCCAAGTATACATGTAACTCCAATGTTGGTAAAATGAACCCATTAAACGTTGGAATTGACTTGTGTATTCAATTCAACATTAATTTAACTTTCAAAATTTTATTATTTATAAGAACTTTATAAATTAACTAATAATATAAATGTATTACTCTGTTTTTAGTTTAAAATATTTTGAAAACTTAGTATTATCTTATATTATATTACCTACTTCATTTACACAGCTCTAGTTTATTTATGTTATTCATATACTGTTATATTATTAGAAAGTATCTTTATTTATTAATTTATATTTTATAATTTTGTATATGATATGTACTGATTATTATTATTATAAATCTTATATTATAAAACAATAGAACTTTATTCCCCTCTACAAGCTATAGCTTATAGGGGACCAGTAACTTTTTATTTAATTTTTATGTATAATCTATATATTATGTTTGGTTACAATAAAATATTATTATTATAAAAATAGGTACACTAAAATACAAACTTTTATAACTTCATAGGGTTTATTTATGCAATAATCTATTAGTTAATTTTGCTTCTCATAAATACAAATAATACAATTAGGGGCTTGGTTATCTATAATAGTTAGTAGTTTGCTTTGAATCATACAAGTCCTCCAGCTTACAAAATGAACTGTTAAGTTATTTAGATTAAAAACAAAGTAGTTTTGTTTTAACATAATGACAATAGATTAACACAAATTGAGTTGAGCTGAAAATATGATTCTACATTAATTACTTAATAAATACCTATTATTATATTTTTATATTTTATACACGTAATGACATATTTTGTCAAAAACTAATTTAACCAACTATACAGCAAATGGCTAATAGTAAAATAAATTACTTTAATTACATTAATATCATAAAATAAGTTGACATAAATTAAGTGAGTATTAATATCTTTAACTGTAATATTATTAAATTATTATATTGACATACAAAATATATTTTAAATAATCAGGATTATTGGGAAGAAGTAGAAAAAATCTAGTTGGACTATAACTACACATTACCAATGATATGTATTGAAAAGATGATGTTGTTGTAATTGCAGAAAGTGAAAAAGACATAACTAACATGTTCGAAGAAATGAACGACACGCTTAAAGAACACTTAAACTTCACATACCTATTCAATCACAAGCGATGAGAAAAGTCGTACATATACAGTATGCAGAATAGCGCATGCCAAACAGGCCTACTATAAAAAAATTAATCTTTTTACCTCAAATAGAATAAGTTGGGACAGCAGAAAATCACTTATAAAAGGCTTTGTGTGGAATGTAGATCTATATGGAGCAGAGATTGGGACACTACTGAAGACTGAGAAAGCCAAAATAAAAGCTTTTAAAGTATGATGTTGGAAAACGCTGAAAATTCAATAGACAGAAAAGATAAAAAAAATATTGAGGTATTCAGGAGAATCAAAAATCAATACAGAGTACGCTAAGATTGAGAAGAAAAGCATGGATCGGACACGTAATCAGGAGGAAACCTGGAAAAGGAAGGCCTAGAACTCCATTTCTGAAGCAAGTGATTGAAGATACCAGAATAGGAACATACTGGAAGTTGAAGAGGAATATAAGTGGAGAGGGACATCAGTAATCATTTAACCGATTTTCGGAATGAAAAAAAAAATAAATAATGTATTGAAAACTAAAAATCGTGCTAATGTTAAAGCTTTATAATTTGTATGCTAGTTTATAAATAATTTAAATTAGGTGACAACATCAATCATTACAACTTAAAAGATAATATACATAGATATAGATATTTATTTTGTGTTTAATATGTAGATTATGTCCTAAATCAAATTAAGAATTTTTAGCTGGCTATGTGATTAATAATAATTTTATTTTTATTTTTTATTTTAAAATTTTTTTTTTTTTACGGACAAGCCCTTTAACAAAAGAGATATAATAATCTAAACATCCAAAAACATTAGTCTACTGTGCTACATTGTATAATGTCATAATGATAAATACTACATTATTTCTGTCAATGATTGGTGTTGTCACCAAATAATAATTAGTACTAAATTCAAGTTAGAATATTATTAACACCATTTTTAAATTTTGCTTTTTAAGTCTGGGGTGATTGAAAAGTTTGTTTTAATTTTTTGAATACACGTTTTATCTTTACTCATATTTTGCATATTAACTGCAAAACGAACATTTAGATTAAACTGTATCATCATTTTGAAATAGGTTTTTCATAGTCCTAGGCTTATTAAGGTAAAATTGTTTAATGGTTCATAATAATATCAGTATAATATGTGAGGAATTTTGCCGTGAACAGGGTTCAGGGCTAAACAGAACCTAAAATCATCAAATCAAACGCTTAAAAAACATTTAAATAATCAAAATTAAGCAATCTTAAAAATGGTTATTCTCTCCCAAGTTTTTGTTAGTGGTTATCACTTGCATCATATTAAAGTAGAAAATATACATTAAAAAATTTAAAACGTGGGGTGCTATAATATTTCATATTTTAAAAACATTAAATTGGGGGTATTTCACAATAATAATGATAGTTAAATCTAAAAAAAACAAGAGGTGCTAAAGACCCGTTTGCACCCTCTAGTTGCGCCAATGGTCTCAAACCCTATTCACGACATTGAAAATATTTTTTTTTTTTACATAAAATATAATTATATAAGTTGATCAGTGCCCTATATGTATATTTGGATGTATATTATTGTTATTTAAATACCTACATATTGATTAAATTCATGTGATTGGTCAAAAAGACCTAGTCCTACAAAGTATATTACAACTATTGAAGCTATGTATGGTGAATTATTTATATTATACTAATATTTGATTTGAAATTGTAAATGTATTAAATTGAAATTGCAAACATCAAAAAAAGAGTTGTTTATACTTAATATTAAATTAGTTCAGAGTATTGTATTTCCAAATTTGTAATAAACATGCTCAAATGATATTTTATATGAGAAGAGGATATTTGATTTGTTAAAAAAAATTATCACTAAAAAACTTAAATCCTAATAGGCATTTACATGTTCAAAGTATCCAAAAGGTAAACAGCATAAAATAGATATATTAAATCTATAATAATAATTAACACATTATTTTGTATTATTTAAATCTACCAAAGCTATACACAGTTATGTGTATATTATATGTATAAAAAAAAAAATTAAGTTACCTATTAAGTTAATTTATTGTTAATATTATGCCATTATGGTCCATTATTAAATATGGTTATTATATCATATATTGTATATTTATGCAGTATGCACCATGCTATAAATTATAATAGTCAGTAACGAGTAACAGACAACTACAGACAATAAATTACTGTACACTACTACAACAGCGATTTAAAACAGTTAACAGTTGTTGCAACTGTAGTACAGGCAGTCAACAAAAACGGGATTTTATTTGTGACATAAATAAACAGCAAGTTACTGTTACTATTTATTTTGTAAATACACATGTTGGTAACACTGTATTTTCTGTATGATAGACAGTTATAATGATAAACCATGGACAACATTAACTTTTATGGACTAAAATAATTCTGTATTTCCGTATGTTAGTCTATGCCTCTATGGTGTGTCGTAGCATAGAATAGAGATTAAATTGTGATCGAAGCTACAAACAGAAGTAGACCAATAATAATATGATCGTTTGTTATTGTATGTAGGTATTATCGGCTGTCAGGTACAAAGATTATCACCGCTATATCTTGGGTCGAACGATATCGAATTTATTACTTGTAACTTCTGGTCTTTATAATTGATAATAATTATTACGACCACTGACCAGTGCCGCAATCACAATCACCTTCGTGGGGTGAACTTCGTGACTCCCTGAAAGATGGGCATAATAAAATACATTTAGGGGCTCTAAGTACTTTATGAACTGATTTGAAAAGTGTGATATATTTTGCCCTGGGACATAAAAATCCTGATAGCTGCGGTATCTACTGACGAGGTATAACACATTTACACACTATACGAGTAACTATCTCCAAAAACCAACTAACTTTGAGGAGCAATATCTCATCAACGGATTAACGAAAAATGAAAATTTGAACGTAATAATTAATGAAAAAAATTGTTTTATTCAATTATGAAATTTCTAGTATAGGTTACCATTTGAAAATCAAAAGTTGATAGTGGTTTACCTATTAAATATAAGGGTGAAAAATATAAAAAAATATACAATTCTAGAACAGCATAAATCTACAATTTTGAAAAAAAAAAAATTTGAAAAAAGTCAATACTTTTTCAAATAATGAGTGTTGTTTGATAAAAGAATCACCCTGTATAATATTTTCAACAAACCGCATCAGCAGCTCACAGTCTCACACGGTAGTTGTAGGTAGTAGGTACGTCACATATAATAGGTACTTTTCCTTGCACTCGGGACGGCACTATATATTATAAATTATAAACGATTAACAAAGGTATTGACATTTTGATTTCAATTTCAATTTAAATGAAAATACTTACATCTGCCGAACAAGATAGAGAACCGAAAACTTACAAGTTTATCTCGACGTTTATTGAAACTTGAGTAGGTGTAGGTACCTATAGTTACTAGTTAGCGTTGACAGACTAAACTACGAAACTATCAATTAAATATTGTCTCAAAATCACAAACTCAGAAACTGCTTCATATCGTATTTATTCATAAAGGATTTTAAAGAGATAAAAAAGATTTAATTTTAATGCTTACGATTAAAATTGTATAATGTATAGTAAATATTTTAATGATTCACGGAATGACAGTAGGTACGTCCAGTACGACACACGGAAAACACTAAACAGTCACACGCAGGATTACAGGAAAATGGCCCAGAGGATGTCAATAAAGGGGTGTAACTTCTTCAATTGACTTTGCCTTGATAGTTGCTGATTTTTACTCAGCTGGTCTAGTTCGTTATGGAAGGCGCACCTTTGAGCGTGAAGTAGCCATGTTGTTTTTGCCTTAGATAACTCAACCACAGTTAATGGGCCCAATTTCATGATGTCACATCTATTTGAGGGGATACTTGCGTTTGAACAAAACCTTAATACCCATGCTGTAATGCGGATCAAACGCATAAAATCAGAAAATTGATCAAGCAAAACAGCGGCAAGAACCAGCTTAACTTGTCGGGTTTCAGGAACATCATCGGTCGATGGAGGACACGCAGGCCAGCATTTCCTATCTTGGCTTAGCCATGCGGGGCCATTCCACCACAATTGGTTATGACTGAGCGACTGAACGTCAATACCTCGAGTAATCATGTCAGCAGGATTACTGATTGTAGGAACATGCATCCATTGACTAGGACTGGTGAGGTCAGTTATTTGTGCTACCCTATTGGCGACAAATACCTTTAGTGGTTTAGACGTGTTAATCCAAGACAGCACAATTGTTGAATCAGACCAGAGCATTATGCTTGAAGAATTAATAATAATATTCACCTTTGCTAATTCAAGTAAAACATTAAGAGCAAGCTCAGCCAGTAGAAGCGCCCCGGACAGCTCAAGTCTTGGGATTGTGGTTGGTTTTAGTGGAGCGACTCTAGATTTTGATACAGCTAGTGACACTGTTATGCTGCCACTTGCAGCCACAGACCTTACATAAACACATGCCCCATAGGCCTCTTGAGAAGCATCCGTAAAACCATGCAGCTCAATTATCGGCGAGTCAATGTCGAGAACAATTCTAGGCACTCTTATGTGTTCAAGTTCCTTGAATTGATGATAGAACTGCTTCCAGCGTGACACAATATCAGTTGACAATGGGGAGTCCCATCCAAGCTTCAAGGTCCATAATTGTTGCAAGAATATTTAGCCCTTTATAAGGACAGGTGTTAATATCCCAAGGGGGTCAAATATTTTACTTATATCTGACAGCAGCAACCGCTTGGACATTTCTACAGGAGGATCCCAGTTCTTAAATACAAATCGGAAACAATCAATGCTAGGTTGCCAGGTTAAACCTAGAGTGCTTATGGTATCTTCATCATTCAGTCTTAATAAGTAAGATGGATCGTCCTGAGTATGTGGAATTTTATTGAGTAGTAGTGGAGAATTTGAGCACCATTTCCGCAATGGCATGCCGGCTGCATTCAATACTCGACATAATTCAGTATACATGAAAAAACATTCATCAATAGATGAGGCTCCAGTAATTAAATCATCGACATAAAAGTCTTCAGTTATTGTACGGCTAACAGACGGAACACTGGTGTCGTTAGCTAGTTGAGAAAGACATTTTGTTGCTAAGAAAGATGCAGGCTTTGTTCCATATGTCACCGTGAGCAATCTATAGTCAACAACTGGATCTTCGGGAGAATCTCTGTACACAATGCGTTGTAGATTACAATCTGAAGAGGATACATTAACTTGTCTGTACATTTTTTCTACATCACCAGTAAGGACATACTTATGCACCCGAAACCGCAACAGTATTAAGAACAGTTCAGGATAAGTAGCTGGCCCTCTTGACAATATATCATTAAGGGAAACACCGGACTTGCTGGGCGCTGACCCATCAAAAACTACGCGCACCTTAGTGGTGAGACTATTTGATTTTATGATTGCATGGTGAGGCAGATAGTAAGATTTCAATTCTGTTTCATTTTCTGGTACCACTTCCATGTGGCCGAGAGCTAGATACTCCGCCATAAACTTACGATATTCTGTGGCTAAATATGGGTCCTTGGCTAAGCGTTTACAGCCATACAACGAGAATCGCCAAGCTCATCAATAGGTTGACGAAGCGGTAATCGCACAACAAATCTACCATTCTCATCACGACAAACAGTTCTTAAGAAATGCCTTTCAACTTCAGCCTCCTCTTGTCGGAGTGTTTCAGATTTAGTGCTTAGTAAGGCTAACGCTGAATTGATATTGGGATGATGTGATGGTGATTCGTTATTGACATGAGCTGATGACAGAAAGGTCTTCCCAGCTAATACCCACCCTAAAGTAGTGCGACGCAGAATTGCACAATCTGACAACGGATATCGCTGTCCACTAAAAATGCTATAAGATACCTCAGCACCGAGCAACACATCTATTTGACCAGGAATGTTGAAGTGTGGATCAGCCAATTGAGTCTTAATTGAATCTGGGATTTCCAGTGAACTGACATCAAAATATTGACTAGGCATTTTATTTGATATACTAGACAGTACGTGAAATTGTAATTTAGTACAGTAACAACTATTGATCCGTGATGACAGCTTGGCATTGATGACAGAGTTAGCCTTGGAATGAGTCATGCCTATACCAGAAATAGGACATGCAGATGACTTGAGAGGCAATTGCAGACGTTCAGCACAGGCTGCAGTTATCAAGCTGATTTCAGCACCTGAGTCAATCACTGCTCTACATAACTGAGGCGTACCCTTTATGTCAGTAATACATACAACAGCAGTAGCTAGTATAATCCTATTGTTGGTTGAGTTGGGACCAATACTGATGTTATTTTGTGAAGTAAGAACTTTAGCAAGGGTTACAACTCTCTCTGGTTCTGTTGACGGTTGATCCACCGACTCACCATCAGTATGTAGCTTTTCATGGTGACGTTTCCCACACTTAGAGCACGGTGGAAATCTGCATTTGTCAACTCTGTGTCCATAGTATAAACAATTGAAACACAATCTGTTTTTTTCCACAAGGTCCTGGCGTTCCTTAATGGACATAGCCTCAAACCTTTCACAATTGGGTATCCTATGCGGACCAGCACAATGATTACATCTTGGAGATGCAAATGTCTTTCCCATATTATGCTGATTATTATTAGTGTTTGTTAGAAAGACCTTTTTTGATCAAGGTTTATTAGTAACGTTGGTTTTATTTGCGTCGTCAGAACAGGATATCATTGCTATGTCACCAGCTTCATATGCTGTTATCCGATTAGACAAAAAGAGTTCTAAGTCTTTATATTTTGGTAGCTCTTTGGTGTCCTGTTTGAGCTGCCACTCAGCAACGGTTACACTATCTAAGCGAGTGCACATAAGGGTTACTAGCCAAGCATCCCATTGGTCTACTGGCTGCTGAAAGGCTGTTAGCGCATTGATGTTTGACGATATGTGATAATGCAGTCGTTGCAACTCACTAGCAGAGGCTGACATCACCTTTGGCGTATTGAGTAGTGAACGCATATGAGATTGTATTATTGCACTTTTATTTTCGTATCTCAATGTTAAGACATCATAAGCTACCTGATAATTTTCTTCAGTTGTCTTAAAATTTTGAATAACTTCTCTTGCTGGGCCTTCAACACAGGTTTTCAAATAGTGAAACTTTAAGATAATGGGTACATCTTCATTATTGTGAAACATTGTATTGAAATCATCAATGAATGCTGTCCATTGTTGCCAATCACCATTGAAGGAGGGTGTTTTTAGTGTTGGAAGCCTCAACATGTTGAACTTTTTACTTCTAGAAATTTCACTATACGATGGAGCGGTCACAGAATTACTAGTTGCTTCATATTTTTCTATAAGCTCCAATAATGACACCTTTACTCCACGTATGAGTTTTCGAAAAAAACTTCTTTCTTCAATCCACTCCTTTTGAGATTTTGTTTGATCCTCTTCTTCTACTATTGCTTGACAATCCTCAAACTTGTCTGCCATAGTGGAAATTTCTTCTAGTTGTACCATTAGTTGTGTTTTTGTGTTATGTTCAGTTGTGTAGTCTCTAACAAAAATATTAATATCATTCAATGCAGTTATCATAGACTGAATTTGAGTTTTTGCTACTTTGGCCATAATGACAATAGCTGAGTTGCTCAGTTTTATTAACAATAGAAAAAATAGCTAATAAGCCTAAAAGTTACAGTTTTTTGCCTTTTTATTACAATATTAATAATATATTTCTTTTTCGAATAAACACAAAATTTCACAATATAAAAATAATAATTAAATGGATTTCAATAAAGATATACAACCAGGCAAAAATCAATGCAATTTCAGCCTATTTATTTTAATATTAAACATATCCGGCCCGAAGGACCAAAAATGTTACGCATAAGGTGCCTATAATAATAATAGGCTGGCCTTGCCGTCTTCCCGTGGAAATAAATAAGAATAATAATTTAATAATAGTTTACAGTATAAATTTTTATTGGCTGAATGAATAATTATAATAACACATTTGCCTGGTTGAATATAAAATATAAGAGGTACAATAACAAAATATAATTGCCTCAGGCGGCTACAAATTTCAAGTATAAATATAATTATTAAACGCTGCAGCTCATAAAATTGCAACAAAAACAACTTACGTGGCCACGCAGAACGACACGAATGAATACACAAAAATATGCCGCCAACACAAACCCTCGAACAAAATAATATGCTGGACCAACACAAGAGGTGGCCAAAATGCCCTATTGCTGGTAAAATGACAACCCTATAGCAAGAAAAAACTAATAATAATAATGATCAATTAGAGTGGCTGAACCATATTTACCAGACAATTGAGCAGATCGCAGCAGCACAGCCAAAAACAATATTTAGTTTGTCACGAGGTTTTTACAATAATCAAAAGGCGACATAAAAACATAATAATGAGGCATGACAAGCACAAAGGTTAGACAATAATAACCGACAGAGAGAAAGATAATTTAAAAACAAAAACTGTAGTTGCAGAAAAATGAACCATTATCAGTAAGCCCCATCATCGCAGCTGACTACCGATAGCACCAAGTGTTGCCAACGTTAGCAGCAATACGACGACGGGAACTTAATGACTAATGGTGCAACTAACAGTACTACATAGAACAGTGCCTACTTAATAAAATGTTTTAAAGTGACAATACTTTGTTCTAGTTTTTAAATATCCATAATTATTGAACATTTAAGTATGAGCTTCACAAAATAGAAATAACAACTAATAAGTTTGAATTTGTTCTGGAATCAAATTACGTTTGTTATACCTAAACGGAAAAATAAGCATGAAAAAATATTTTACTTACAACTATGTGCAAATACTATCTGTAAATAATTGTATCCAAAAAATATGTTTTAAAGATTAATTACACATTTTAGGCTCGTCGTCGAGTATCAATACATTAATTGTAATGTTTGTAATGTACCTGAAACCAAATACAAAAATCTAAATTACATTTAATAAAAACTGAATAATATGATATTAGGTACCTACCTTATGTATAATGTAGAAACATTGGTTATCATTTTTAAAGTGCAAAATATATGTAGAAATTAAACACGATTAATTAATTTTGTAAACAGCATGAGATTAAATTCCTCGGAAATCCTCTCTCAAACAGACGTCTATGTTGCATGCAAGTGTTGGGTAAGTTAATAGCAAATAGCAATATCCACGTTGGCAGATAATATTTAACAATTCTGAAAGTAAAACAAATTTAAATTTAAAAACAACGAAGTTAATTTACTAGAATGTACCTATTTAAGCTAGTCCTTTTTATAACGTTTTGTAAACAAACTTACCCTTTTAAAATAATTTTTCTGGTAGGTCTACTAAAAAAAAGGTTAATGGTGCACAAGGTGCACAAGGTTGGTTTATTTTCTTGACACAGTCTTTAAATTTTAACTTTGATTATGTCTGTCACTTCAACAGGAAGTAGCAAGTTATCAGATCATGATTATAACTATGAAAAAGATATGCGTATTACAAGTCTACTTATAAGGAATTAGTTAAACAAAACAAGAAATTGTGTCAGGTAGTAATTTTATTAAAAATAAATATTAAATAGCACAAAGTATAAAATCCAAATTAAATAACCAAGTTACATATGTACAACACTTCACCATTGTCGAGAAATCGCGTGGACAAACATCCAAAAAAAACAGTGTAATGGGATTACGCAATATCATGTATTTTGCTCATAATAACAACCAGGAATGGGATTACGCAATATCATATATTTGCTCATAATAACAACCAGAAATGCGACCACACCCAAAAGTGTTTTCGACTACGAATACCACTTTCATAGTCGTGAGGTCCATATCAAGGACGACTGTACACGCGCCGCTCACTTCAAAGGACGCCGCCACCATATATATATAGGGGACAGCGAGACAGCCTGAGTTAGTTGTATCCAGAGACGAGAACAACACACGACTCGCTTAGCCGCCCAGCCATCACACACGACTTACACGGAGATTATCAACTTCGGAACGAGCTACAATTCGCTACAATCAACACTATTATTCTGCTTGTTTTGTCTGGTTTAATATAATACATTTGATTATCATACTAATTGACTATTATTATTTATCGAAGTACACCAGCTTTTGGATCCCTGAAGGGCCGCATGTAACAACAGACAAGATTCAAATTTCAAAGTTAAATAAAAAAGAGTGATACCACTTGTCCGAATATGATAAGACATAAGAGTGATTATACAGCGATTATCGTATGACTATTATCACTATACTGTTCTATGCTATTATCGTACCCACCACAGATATAATATCGATCGGTTATCGCTATGCAATAGTGATATCGAGAAGCTACCACCTAAGCATGGGCCGCTGTTTCCGAATTCTATCAGGGCGTTGATTGTAGGACCGTCGGGGTGCGGGAAAACGAATCTTATTTTAACGCTATTGGTTCACGAGAACGGGATTAAATTCGAAAATGTATATATTTATTCGAAAACACTACATCAAGCCAAATACATCATTCTTTTTTTTTTTTTTGTTATAAATCCGTAGATTTGTTTGTTGCAGCTCTCCATGCTTCTCTATCGTAGCACAATTCCTTCAGGTCTTTGTAACTTCCCTTATTCGTATCCTGCATTATCTGTGTCATGTATTCTGTTCTTGGTCTTCCTCTTGCAATGTGTCCTTCAACATCTCCTTCAATTATTTTCTTTAATAAACTCTCATGCCTTAAAATGTGTCCTATCATCTTGCCTCTTCTTGATTGAATACTTTTCCATATTTGTCGTTGTTCCTTTATTTTGTCTAGTACTTCTTTATTCGTTACCTTCTCAGTCCATGGTATTTTGAGCATTTTCCTGTAGCACCACATCTCAAAGGCTTCTAGCCTATTTTTTTCCGTTGAGTTTATTGTCCAGGTTTCGGATCCAAAGAGCGCTACGCTCCAAATATAACTTTTTATAAAATAAAAATAATATAATAAGTATGTGTTTATTCATTAAAATATAATATTATTTAGAAAAATTAAACTTTATAATATCATATAAAATCAAAAACAAATATTATTCTACGAATTATTTATAAACCATCTGCGCAATGCATAAACTCTATGATATGTACATTGTGTGCGATCTAAGTCCATGTGATATATACAGCACGGAGATCCTAGTTTATTTGACTTTAAATAAAATATAGTCATAGTTTTCAACACGATTGCGAGAATAGTTAATATTATAATTAATAGAATTATTATTATTATTATTATCATCGTAATTATCGTCAGTAGATGGCATATAAAGTCGATCCAGCTAATTTAATCTGGGGCAGTCGTGATCCACGCCCAAATCGATGACATCGACTTCTGGAATGAAATCTTGTATAATCTAACGTTTTTCCGCACCCTTGACGTAGACACACTTGACATGTAATGATTTTAAAATTCTATCGATTTGAGAATATTCCACGTCACCGCAACCCAATGAAAGCTGATGATAGTTACGGTACAACCACATATTCACCGCTTTACTTTTAGCCGTACACGGTGTTTGATTGTGCTCGAAAATATAATGTTGACTACCGCTGTTGTTTACATCAAGAATTGACATTTCTTTTATAAGATATTTAAAATTCAAACCTAGTATGCATTGAATATCTATGATAGCCGACGCCATAATCCACTTCGTCGAGAAATATATGTATTAGGGTTGCGACCATACGAATATTTCACTTTGAATTTTTTTTTCTTAATAAATTAAGAATTCAGTTTGGTAATGTTATTTTTTTTTTTATTTTCTTAATAAAATTTTCGGTGGTTTTAAAACTACTATAAAAATGAAAATGATGAATGGTAAATATAAACCAGTCGATGTAGATAACAGTTGGATTGTTCCTTACTCTCCACTTGTTTCAAAAATAATGAAAGCACATATCAATCTTGAATCATGTAGTTCAGTCATTGCAATAAAATACATATTGAAATACATTCACAAAGGGAGTAATCAAGCAATGTTTACAATCGAAAATAAAAAAGATGAAATTGAAGACTATCAATCTGGAAGATACATAAATAGTAAACCCAGAATGTTTTTATCTACGAATATTATTACATAATGTACGTGGTCCAACATCATTTAAAAACTTAAAAAGTGTTGATGGTATTGAATATGATACATACAGAGAAGCATGTCAAAAACTTGGAGTACTCAAATACACTATTGGAAAACTTAATTCAAGCCTTTTCTGATGGTATAGGTACCTTATATACCTTATACCCATTTAAATAATCCACCATACCAAAGAACACCATAAACTAAATCAAAACAACAAAAAAATCTTGTTTTTGACACTCTTCTCTTATTCTGCAATAATTATTCATTAACTTTTCCTATATTAATCTTATTTTTTGTTCTTCGATATCGTTCTTATCATGCCTTCTTTTCATTTTTGTATTTTTTATTTTGCTCGTAGTGGCTTCAGTGGCGTAATTTGGAATTAGTTCTGGGGTGGGATATACATTTATATTATCGTTCTAGTGGGGTAGGCTATACCCCCATACCCCCTTGACCATTAAATATGTTACTCAATATTACTCATATGTCATAATATTACATTAATTTATTATTTTAAATAAAATGAGGTAAATAGTATAATAATGGTTTTCAAAGACAATAAAGTAAACAATTAATGACCCCGATAAGTTTTTCAAATTTGCCGCAATTCTAAAAAATTAGGAAATTAAATTTTATATTTTAGTTTCCACCTCAATTATTATACTTTTCCACTAGTCTACTACCCGATACCTATTTAGGGGGGTTTATAGGGTGTATTATATCGAAAAAAATTACTTCACGGGAATAACTCTCAGGCTTTGTAGAATTGTCGGATTTTGATGACTATTTTTTTATCTGAAAGAAAAAGACTTCCTACAGGCCACATCGATCTCTGATTTTGTATTTTATTTCAAATAAATGTACTAAAAAATTTGTAAAAAAATGTTTTTTATCTCTTTTTTTTCTAGGCATATTATAAAGTTTGAGAATAAAATATTGAAAAATAGAGATCGATGTGGACTAAAGAATATTCCCCTCTAGTAATTAAAAAAAAAATATGAAATGTGGTTGGTTCTATGAGGCGGTATCGTTATTCCCACAGAGTGTATTTTTGAGGACAAAATGGCATCGGCACTGGGCGCCTTAAATGTATTTTAAATTTTTCATAAATTATTATATCAAGTCAATTTTCCTTTTTGTTTTTTTCGCCAAAATATGCAGTAAGTCATCGGGGTTCAACTTATTAATGTCCCGATGCACTGATAACATTGTAAGTCCATTCAAGCATAACGGCTACGAAATAGGCTAAGAATGTATGTACAAAAGGCAAAGCACACCTTTTCGTGACCGTCCTCCGAGCCCCCCGACCATGTCGTTTCCAGTCCATTGTATCTTAATTCGTGAGCTGTAGGAACAATTGTCTTGTCATATATTGTAATTATTGAACTATCGTAGTTTTATAGATACTAGTAAAATAAAAAAATCTCAACTATGATAATATCCATGAATTCTTATTTCTCATTTTAAAATATTTCTTATCTTAAAATCTTTTAAAACCAAGTGCTTACGGGAATTTAATTATGGTTATTCTAAAAAAAAAAGGCTTCTGGGGGAGGATATAGCACCATAATTCCGCAACTGAGTGGCTTATAAACAAACAGTTTCCATAGAAACATAATAATTATAAAATATACATTAAAATATTATATACATGAAGTCGTCTCGACCTGGTGACCGAGAAAGACATCAAATAGGGTTTTCATGTCGGTTCTGACCTTCCTCAGATGTAGCTGAATATCTATGTTGAATTTCAAGTAAATCGGTCAGGTAGTTTTCGAGATCATAAGGATAATAGAAACCGCCACTTACTTTTATTACTCTTGGAAAGTAACAAGTGGAGCTGTAATTGTTATTATAAAATGGAACATGAAATAAGTTTGATTTTCTTAAACAGTGATTCGCTGTATTAAATGATATCATTGATAGCATATCTGGGGAAAAAATGTGACCATTTAACAAATCATATATAAACATAATATCAGCAACCTTTCTTCTTACTTCACAAGATATAAAGCTCAACTCACTCATTCGCATATTGTATGAGTTCTTTGAAATAAGTGGAATATTTAATTTGTAACATAATAACTTTAAGAATTTAAGTTGTACATTTTCAATTGTATTAATAAAAGTGTTGTAACTAGGTGACCAGACTATTGATCCAAACTCAAGATGAGATCTAACAAGCGCAGAAAATAATATTTTCAAGGCATTTACATTTTTAAAATTAACTGTGTTTCGGTTGATAAAGCCAAGCATCTTAAAAGATTTCTTAGTAATAGTATTAATGTGGGTGATGAAAGACAAATTGCAATCAATAATAATCCCTAAATCTCTAATAGAAGTCGCTCTTGTAACGAAACAATTATCAATTTTGTAATCAAAGCTAATAGGATTATCGATGCGTGAAACGGTAATAACATTACATTTGTTTATATTTAGAGATAAACTATTTTGGTGAGTCCATATTACAAATTTATCCAATTTAGCTTGCAAATTTAAAGCATCTGAAGGAGAATAAATTGTAGAGAAAATTTTTGCATCATCAGCAAATAGCAGTATATCGACCGTGTTATCAAAAATAGAGGGTAAATCATTAATGAACATTATGAATAAAAGAGGTCCTAAATGGGAACCTTGTGGTACCCCAGAACTAACTGGGAAGTAAGGAGAGATACTATGTATACAGTCGTAGAGTTTTTTATTTGAACGAAAATGTTCACATCTACATACACATATAACATAGTGCCATAATCGTGTGGTAATGCATAAATAACGCATATTGCACTGTTAAATCATCATTCATCAGTACTAATATTATTGATATATATATACTGGGTGATTATTTTATCAAACAACACTCATTATTTCAAAAAGTGTAAATTTTTTTGAAGATATTTTTTTACATAGTTTCAAGTCGTTTATAAAACAACGTTTTTATTAAGAAATTATATTTTTAATTATTTTTTATTATAATTTTTTAAGTTTTTTACTTTTTTGAATGACAACATAGGGTTTTAATTTTATATTCTAAAGTAGAATATTTTTCTTAGTATCAAAATATACATGAAAATTGAATTTGGGGCGAGTAGGTAGTTTATGAGTTATAAGTATTTAAAGTTTAGACGAGGGGTGAAGTGGACAAACATTTCGCGGGGTAACCCCGAACCACTCCACTCCGCTCGTCTAAACTTTAAATACTTATTACTCATAAACTACTCAACCCAAATTCGATTTTCATGTATCAAAATACTAAGAAAAATATTCTGCTTTGGAATATAAAACTAAAACTCTATGTTGTTATTCAAAAAAATAAAAAACTTAAAAAAATATAAGGATAAAAAATATTTAAAAATATAATTTTTTAATAAAAACGTTGTTTTATAAGAGACTTGAAACTATATAAAAAAATATTTTCAAAAAACTTTACACTTTTTGAAATAATGAGTGTTGTTTGATAAAAGAATCACCCAGTATGCGATGAGTCGGCATGTATGACATTTGATCCCACATGCATAAGACAAGGAATCGTGAAAAAAAAGTATGCAATCACCGCAATTTTTGTTGTATTGCTAATAATATTTATCGGACAATGGGGTGTCATTGTTCCGCCCGCCCGTCAAAGTATGCCGATGCAGGGTCATTTTCATACGCACAAGGATCGTTGCGGTCGAATATAGCGTGATCAAGGGAGGTGATGGGGTGTTAGTGTCTCTGCTGTCATTAAGTTAATTAAATTGCAGTGAATTATAATTTAGTCGTCTTCATCAGCCCAATACGCATACAACGTCATCTCCTGCACTGACTTATTTTTATTATATCATCATCACCACCGCAACACCGCGTTATATAAAGTGAGTTACATATTTAATTTATCCTACAATAATAATAGTACTTATTAATAATTTATTAATATTATTTTTATTATTATTATTATTATTATTATTATTATAATATTTATTATATATATTAGAATTTGCGACCATCACCGTCCTATCATCATCTACATAACCATATGCACCATCGTCATCGTCATCATCACCTTCATCATCATCCTAATCATCGCCATAGTCGCAGCCGCAATAATAATAAAAGTGAGTATTATTTATATATTTATTTATTGTAGGATATTCATTTATTATAAATATTTTATCGCGCGTTAAATAATTATATTATTTTATACTTAATTTGGTCGAATATTATGTATGATGACTTACAAGTGCAAAATGTTTTTATTTTTTCTTTAAGCTAATTTTCTATGAATAGTTATTTTATGTTAGATACTAATATTTGAACACAGCGAAACTTTATTAACGCTTAAATGTACCATAGTTGGGGGAAAAAAACACGTTTTATAAAGATAATCATTAAAATAGTATTCAGGGTTAATATTATCAACGGAAAGGCTTGCAGTGTTCGAATAAATATTTTATCAAACATATAATTTCACTAAATGAGGATTAACTATCTCCAAGTTTGGTTGTTTTTTTTTTACACATATATAATATTTTATTACACGTTAAATAATTATATTATTTTATACTTAATCTGGCTGGATATTCTATATAGTGTCTTACAAGTGTGGCAATGTTTTATTATTTTTTTTCTTTTTCCCCAGATCAAAATGGCGTTCCTGATTAACCTCAAGCGTCAAGCCATTAACAGCAACAAGTTAGTTGGCGATTTGGCTATGGGTGCTAGTTACCAAATATTGGCTATGAGCGTGGTGGACACCAAATATGAGAAATCAACAGCGTGCAAGCTGACTGATAGTGCCTCGGAGGGCACTATCAATATATTCTTATCGAGGCATATTCAGATAACCTCCGATGAGGTTAAAAATTATAATGAGGGACGTGTGCCCCCTATATCTCTTATATATAGGGGAAAAGATAATGCAAGATTTATTATAGACTTCGAATGAAAAAATAAATTATTAAAAAAAAAAAAAAAAAAAAATGTTTTTACATTGAAATACGTTTTAATTTATTTTATTTTAATGTTATATTAATGATACTAATAATTTTATAAAGTTGAATATACTCATTAGAAAATAATAAAAGTATAATAGGCATATATATATATATGAGTATTCTACACTTATTACAATTATCTGATATGCTAAACATAGGTATAAGATTGTTTCAAATAAAAAACATTTTATTTTATATTTAGGCATACATATTATATTATTTCTAAATAATATTTTTCAAAGTATAACTAAATATATATATATATTTATAGGAATCTTAGCGGAAATGTTTTATTTATACATAGTCGCCACAATATAATAATAATAATAATAATTATTATTATTATTAT